AAGAGCATGAAATCCACTCTTGACTCTGAGTATATTTCACTCTGCTGAGTTTGGTGCTCACAATGGACAGTTGTGGGTCCAGTGCACTTAGACCTGCTTTCCAGGAATGGAAGTTCTCTGGAAGTGCTCCAGTCGCCTAGCCCAGTCGGGGCTGTACCAGTTATTGAGCCCAGTCATTGGCATCATCTCAGAGGCATACTGACAGGAACTTGGCACCCTCAGGAGGCAGTGATGGCCACCAACCAAGATGGCTTTAGTACAGGGCTCGGCAAATTCATGGCTGCTATTGGCTGCTAGCAACCACAGTGGCTACGCTCTGCCTCCAAGGTCAGAAGCAGTACTGCTTCCAAGCGCATGGAGGAGAATTGAGGGGGGGAAGTAGAATGAGTTGGCTTTGCCTCTTGTTAGCTCTGGCACCACCTACTGATGGCCTCCCTGCCTTCTGTCATGGCTGCTAGCTTTTCTCTACCTCCATGGTTGCAGGCCAGTGTGGTTGCAAGCCATGGTTGCAGGCCATGGTTGCAAGAGCCAGTGTGGTATAGTGGTTAAGAGCGGTGGACTCGTAATCTGGTGAAACGGGTTCGCGTCTCCACTCCTCTACATGCAGCTGCTGGGTGACCTTGGGCCAGTCACACTTCTCTGAAGTCTCTCAGCCCCACTCACCTCACAGAGTGTTTGTTGTAGGGGAGGAAGGGAAAGGAGAATGTTAGCCGCTTTGAGACTCCTTCGGGTAGTGATAAAGCGGGATATCAAATCCAAACTCTTCCAAACTCTTCAGGCAATATGGCCTCTGAATACGAGTTTCTGTTGCACTCATCTGCAACTTCAAGTTTCCACAAGACATCTGTGGTTCTTTTAGGGAGGGTGTGTGTTGGTGTATTTTAGTTCTTTGTTGTTGTTTTTAGTTGAAAGGGAAAAGTGCATGTAAAAGGTAGGAATGAAAGACTCAGAGGTCCATGAAGCCCCTATGGGCTCATTACAGATACTAGATACCATTCTGGTATAATTATATCCTTGCACTATGAACAATCATTCTTAATGCAATTTCTTTTCTTCTTTTTTAAAAAAGAAAAATGTAAACCACTCATTGTTAAACGCATCTCCTGTTTCCCCCTAAAACTATAACTTAATTGGGCACTCTTTGACCCCAATATCAGATAAGTAAGCACATTTGGGTTTTAAAAAAACCCTTTCTTTTCTAAAGAGCATCCAGGGAGATGCCAAGGTTAATGTGTTGTGTATGTGATGTCATGAAGGATGTGCTTTCATTTGTTTTTTCCAGTGAAGAAGTTCAGGGCTGGGGATGTCCTTCTGTTAGACGCTGGGGAATTTTTAGAACTTTTAACTCTTTGTGGGAAAGGACAGAACTGGAGGTGACTTTCTCCCCTTTTGCCATAAGAGGAAGGACGCGAGTTGTAGGTTGTGGCTACTGCTGTCGTGTTTGAATAAATATTAGTCCATGAAGAACTTTCCATGAGCGCAGATATCAAGACCTTCGGGGAGGGAAAACAGGAAGCGATTCCAATTTTTCTTCCCTGACTTTCCAGTTAGGCACCCAGGACAAGGATTATTTTGTTTCCTCCATGATGACGAAGCGGTGACAAAGTTTGACCCAACTTACAGGGAGCCAGCATGGTGCTTTCCAAATTACCATTGGCCATGCTGCTTGGGGATGGTGGGATTTGGAGTCCCAGCAACATCTCAAAGGCACAATTTTGGCTATCCCTGATCTAACGGCTCCTTAAAATTGTCCCTGGATGGTGAACCAGTTTTAACACCTCCTTAGACATCAAGTTCCCTTGCTAAAACTGATATTAAAAGGGAGGTCTCTCAACTGGAAGCAGAGTTGTCTTCCTCCCCCTCTCCTAATCTCCCACCTAAATCTACCTCCCTATAATTTAAAGCCATTGTTTGTTTTCTTTTATCATGGCCTCCATCTATTAAAAGTCATTGTTATTAGGCATTTATCTTGTATTTGTCTCTTTGGGAGAATAACCTGACGTGAACCATACAAATGGCATCCCAATTTCCATGAGCGTTTTTTAAAACACTTGGCCCATTGTTTGAGCGGTGGCCTCGCAACAAAACCTCGCATCGCTTCCCCTCCCACCCACCCCTAATCAGCGCGCCGTGTAATTGTTTTGTTTAGGAAAAATATTCCCCAGCTCGCCTTCTTGTTCCAAACAATTTTGCTCCTCTATGCCGCATTTGCCATCCACTGATCTAATACCTATATTTACAATCTGAATCTTTTGAAACAGACCCCATTGTTCGTCATTATTTATTATGCTTCCCATTGTTTCCAGATGGTGCAAAGGAACAATGCGTTCATTCGCTCTTCTGGAGGAAGGAGAAGGGAAAAAAGATGAACCCAAATTAATGGCAATATTGGGCCCTTCTATTTCCCCCATGAGGGAGTCGCAAAAGTTTTGCACTTCCTCCCCTTTTGTTATCTGCACAGAGTACAACAAGTTGCTTGATCAACAGCAGCACACCTGCCAGGCTAATCAGCAAACAGATTCAAGCCTGGCTCTTGTGTTCGGTTCCAACACAATTAGGGCATCATTAGGGAAGAGGGGGTGGAATTAAGTTCAGCTTGCACTTATATAGATGAATCTACCTTTCCCGAAACAATATGTGAAGTGGAACCCAGTCATTTAGCTGTGACTTCGGCATTGGTGCGTTGTTGAACCGGATGAACCTCAGACCCTCCAAGCATTTTGGGAGGACAGTTCTGGATTTACAGAAGCCGTCCATGTTTCTGATTGGATCCCCTCTTTATTTTCGACTCTCTTGGGTGCAGGAATTTAACCTTAATTATTTACAATTTTTGTTTAACCTGCAAGAAAGAAGGGCTTTTTCACTGGCTAGGTTCAATTCTAATCCTTCAAACCTTCTTTGGGGTAGGTTTGCGGATATGGCAGAAGGAGATAGGATCTGCCCATGCAATGCCCACCTGGTGGAAACTCTAGCTCACACGGCCCTTAACTGTAAAATGTATGATGATCTCCGCCAACAATTTCTAGACCATCTATGTATCCAACATGGAAACCAGAGATGGAGGTTATACGCTTCTTATTACAGGGGAGAGACCAGGAGCTCCCCAAGAAAGTGGCTAAGTTACATCTTTCCGCAGGGCCTGCAAGACAGAGCTGTTCCACCAGGCCTTTGGCCAAGGCACAGCCTGACCCCCCTCCTTTGGTAATCCTCATAAAACTCTAGCCCAATGGTTGCCATGAATTTGATTTTGAACTGATTTTAGAATGAATTGATTTTAGAATGCTGTGTTACTTTTCACTGTTGTTAGCCGCTCTGAGCCCGGCCTCGGCTGGAGAGGGCGGGATATAAATAAAAATTATTATTATTTTATTAAAAATAAAAATGGAGCCCGCTCTGCCCAGTAGCAGCAGCAGCAGCACTCCTTTGTGGAGCCTGTCAGGTCACTCCCCAAGCCAGGTGGACAGAAGCAAGACAGGTCCCTTCAGGCCCCCAGCAGGTCAGTCCTGGGCAGCAGCCTTAGCCTGCCTGTGGAATGATGGAGGTCCCAGAAAGTCACCCATCCCGTCACTGACCAGACCGAAACCTCCTTCACTTCAATGAGGAGGTGGCCTCCTGGGTCCTCAGACCACACACCACGGGACCATGAGGCAAACAGGACTCGCTGCTCCGATGTACGTGGTACATGTTCATTTATAATAATAAAATAATAATAATTTATTATTTATACCCCGCCCATCTGGCTGGGCTTCCCCAGCCACTCTGGGCAGCTTTCAACAAAATATTAAAATACAGTAATGCATCAAACATTAAAAGCTTCCCTAGCCTTTCCAGAATGGGACACGAGTGGCGCTGTGGGTTAAACCACAGAGCCTAGGACTTGCCGATCAGAAGGTTGGCGGTTCAAATCCCCGCAACGGGGTGAGCTCCCGTTGCTCGGTCCCTGCTCCTGCCAACCTAGCAGTTTGAAAGCACGTCAAAGTGCAAGTAGATAAATAGGCACCGCTCCAGTGGGAAGGTAAACAGCATTTCCATGCGCTGCTCTGGTTCGCCAGAAGAGGCTTAGTCATGCTGGCCACATGACCCGGAAGCTGTACGCCGGCTCCCTCGGCCAGTAAAGCGAGATGAGCACTGCAACCCCAGAGTCGGTCATGACTGGACCTAATGGTCTGGGGTCCCTTTACCTTTACTTAGCCTTTCCAGAAGTTTTAGAACTCACAGCAACTTTTGGGGTTTTTTCCCTTGTCAGCTGTAAAAATGTGAAATGGTTGAGGCAGAAAAATGTGAGATAGGCAAGGGAGCCTGAAGTTATCCTGCGTTCCCCCCACACACCCGCCCCCTTTCCTTTATCATAAAGTCATTTTTTTTCAAATCACCTTTCTGACACATTTGTCCATATTGATTAGATGCTTTTGGAATGACATTGTCTGACCTGTCGAAATCTATCAATTGCTCTTCGGCTGAAGTCTAATTCCCAGGCTCCTCCGGCATCTACCAGCAAAGTGTGGCTGTTATTCATGAAGTCTTCTCTCCTCTCTCACTCCCTCTCCCCCTTTGCTGAAAAAAGATCAATATTCATATGCATATTAAATCTGCATTAGCGTTGCTGTTCAATGTACTTCTTTAGCTGGCTGTTCCTATAACTTCTCCCCCTCTCCTCTCCACCCCCCCCCCCAGCACTAAACCTATCGCTGAGAGCATTTCAGGAATACATATCTGATACTATATTCCCAAGATGTTTGGGCGAGTTATTAGGAACTTGTTGCTTATTAGGATAAATGCTTATCCCCAATGGTTTTCATTGAGTTTTCAATTGGTGCACTGCAAACTCAACTATGAAATACGTTTTTGTCCATTTAATGTCTCTCTCTTTCTCTCTCGCTTTAAAAAAAACACAAGAAAAACCCTGTTTTGTAGGGAAAGGACGCCTTAATTGTTCCCAAGACATTGGATAATCCACTTCTGATGGGGCTTAAGGTTGAACTAATAGAGAAGCAAGTTACAGCTTAGCTGCGCTGGGTTTTAATTGAGTAATGAACCAGCGTATCCTGAAGTTCAAAACTTGTCAAGATGGGCAGATCATTGCATTAGAAGTTGGAGTAAGTTTCTTAAACTGATTTTCTTCTCTTCTCTTTCTTTCTTTTCTTTCTTTCCTTTTCTTTCTTTTGAAACCAATACATTATTACCCTGGAAATAGAGAATTCTCTGAGCTGATTGAAGGCTTCCCAGGTTAATAGGCAGAAAGGGAAATGGCTAATGCTGTCTTGGAATGGTTCAAGGGAACATCTCACGTTGAGTTGGATGTTTGTCTCCCTTTTCCCCTGAAGTCCGGAGGAAGAGGCATCTTTTGAAACAAGCAAGCAAGGATCAACAAGCAGATACGATAGCACCAAAGTACGAGAAAGCTCCACAATTAGATTCTTGTTAATAATATAATAATAATAAATTTTATTTATACCCCGCCCTGCCCGGCCAGAGCCAGGCTCAGGGTGGCTAACACCAGTAAAATTACAGTAAAAACATAAGGGGAGGGGAACCAATTTAAAATAGAGGTTAAAATGCAATTTAAAATGCAGCCTCATTTTAAAAGTAGCCCACAGATCAAAACCATAAGGGGAGGGAAACATAAGGGTCAGACTGAGTCCAAACCAAAGGCCAGGCGGAACAGCTCTGTCTTGCAGGCCCTGTGGAAAGATGTCAAGTCTCGCAGGGCCCTGGTCTCTTGTGACAGAGCATTCCACCAAGTCGGGGCCAGTAGTGAAAAGGCCCTGGCCCTAGTTGAGACCAATCTAACCACCTTGAGACTTGGGACCTCCAAAATGTTGTCATTTGTGGACCTTAAGGGGCATACCAGGAGAGGTGGTCCCATAGGTACTAGGTCCTAGGCCGCATAGGGCTTTAAACGTAAAAACCAGCACCTTAAACCTGACTCTGTACTCCACCGGGAGCCAGTGCAGTTGGTAAAGCACTGGATGAATGTGTTAGGGCTGTGCAGAAAGCCTCAGACAAGACATGGACCCCAATAGCCCCATGTTGGGTGTATTTGGACGACTTGGCCATTGGGGGGGAAGGGCAGTGGTGTTTCCCTGACCTCCCATCTTTAGCGTCAGGAAGGAAAGCGGTCAGGTTGACACTGTCCAAAAACACCAAAAGGAACATTGGATTGGCAAGACGGGTATGTTGGCACTGTACCAGCTCACCCTTCTTGTTATGTACTGAGCTTGGATCCTAGAACAATAGGCAGGTAGGATCCTAGAAGGCAGCAACCTGATTGGTCGGCAGGAGCCGCCCAATCCTGCTCCAGGAGGAAGTGAATCAGCAACCTGATTGGCCCGCCGGAACAGTCCAATCAGGCTCCAGGAGGGGGGTTGAATCAGCCAATCACACGGGACCCATTGTGTAAGAGGGGCTTCCAGGGCAAATTAGCCATGCCTTGTTGTCCATGTTAGAATTCCTGCTCCATGATTGCAGTCATGGGGTTTTTGTCTTTCACATGACGGTATATGTTTTGACTCCACAGAGTGGGAAGTGACGGAGACAGGATGTTTGTGTTACTGTGTTCCGTGACTATTGTCCGTTGTTCATTCTCTTTGCTGTCTGATGCTAGAGAGAGAGTGAGCCATGTTGCAGCACTCCGTGTGTGCTTATATGTAAATAAAGTAGATTAGCCAAAATGCTGAGTTGCTGAGGTGTGTCACGCGAGATGCGCAAACTCTGTGGATCCCTAAGTGTGCCAGTGTTGGTTGGCATTGGTCACTGTGATGTTCGGGCTGAAGAAAGCTTTTGAAGCTCCTGAATGATCGACCAGGAGGGAGGGAACATGCCAGTTGGGCATGTGTCTCTGCCAGGGTCCTGCTCAAGTGTAGCCTGAACTCCTGACAGTCCATAGCAGTGGACTGCCCAGAAGGCCAAAGGGTCGCAGGATACATTGTCCATGCTACTACAGAATCACAGAGTTGGAAGGGATCCCAGAAGCCCAATCCCCTGCAATGCAGGAATCTCAGATAAAGCATCCATGGCAGATGGCCGTCCATACGATGGTTGGCTTGATGCCTCTGTGTCAGGAACTGCTGCCCTATCTGTTAAGCCATGTAACTGCAACCTCATGGGAAAGAACTTCCCAGATCCAACCTCCTGGGCTAAACATTTGCCCTTCGTGGCAGGAAGCAGTATAAAGGACTTCCTATTCCAAATGAGCACCACGGTCTACCTGAGGTCTAACGTCATAGAATTATAGAGTTGCATGTCTGGAGGATGAAGCTATCAGTGGCTACTAGCTGTATTGGCCATGTTCTATGCCCACTGTCAGACACATTGTGCCTCTGAGTACCAGCTGCTTGGAACCACAAGTGGGAAGAACGCTGTTGACTCAGGACCTACTTGTGGGCTTACAATGAGTTGCTCATGTTGTGAGAACAGGATACTGGACTAGATGGGCCTGATCCAAGAAAGCTCTTCTTATGGTCTGGTCTCACTCTTGGCTCCTCCCTTTGGGCTTGTTCTTTCGTCCTACTTCCTGCCTTGCCCCCAGATCCTGATAGCTCCATGGCAGCTCTGGAGAACCTTTGACCATCCAGTACAAATCCCATCAACCCTAGCAAGCATGGTCAATGGTCAAGAATTATGGAAGTTGTAGTGAGAGCCAGTGTGGTGTAGTAGTTAAGAGCGGTAGACTCGTAATCTGGTGAACCGGGTTCGCTTCCCCGCTCCTCCATATGCAGCTGCTGGGTGACCTTGGGCCAGTCACACTTCTCTGAAGTCTCTCAGCCTCACTCACCTCAGAGTGTTGTGGAGGAGGAAGGGAAAAGGAGATTGTTAGCTGCTTTGAGACTCCTTCGGGTATAGTGATAAAGTGGGATATCAAATCCAAACTCCTCCTCCTCTTCTTATGAGCAATGCTCATGAGTAGCCCCATGTCTTCCATTTATCTACTTTCCCCTCCTCTCTGGTCCATTTAGCAAACATGTTAGAGCCCCTGCTCTGAACGCTCATGTAACCAGAAAAAACACAGCAAAATTTAAAGCAAATTGTAATTATTACAGAAGACACATTTACTTGTCTTCTGGTTTGTTGAAGCAGTATGTCAAGCAGCACTTGCCACAGTAATGTCTGTCAAAGTAGCTAGCCATGAATACTCCAGCCTCACATTCCTCAGAGGGACACTCACGTCGCAGGCATTTACGGGCTATGCCCTGTATCCCCACGTCGGCGAGGTGGTGGTCCAGAAGATCATGATCGACCATGTCAAAGGCTGCTTACAAATCTAAAAGGATCAGCAGTCCTGACCCACCTCGATCCAGTTGTCTACGGAGATCATCTGTTAGGGCAACCAGAGCTGTCTCGGTCCCGAAACCAGGACGGAACCCGGACTGAAATGGATCTAAAGCCAATGTTTCCTCCAGAAACCTATCAAGCTGTTCAGCAACTGCACTCTCAATTACCTTACCCAGATATGGAAGATCTGAAAGTGGGTGGTAATTGGATAGGTCTAGTGAAGTTTTCTTTAAGAGCGGACACACCACTGCTTCCTTCAGTAGTGGTTAAGAGCAGTAGACTCGTAATCTGGTGAACTGGGTTCGTGTCCCCGCTCCTCCACATGCAGCTGCTGGGTGACCTTGGGCCAGTCACACTTCTCTGAAGTCTCTCAGCCCCACTCACCTCACAGTGTTTGTTGTGGGGGAGGAAGGGAAAGGAGAATGTTAGCCACTTTGAGACTCCTTCGGGTAGTGATAAAGCGGGATATCAAATCCAAACTCTTCTAGTTCAGTTCCATTGGGAGGACCAAAGGTTTCCCACAGCTGCCCTATGATCCCAATGCCAGGTTCATGCTCCAAACACATGATCAGGGCAACTTTTATTTGGAAAAAATGAACACTATTTGAGGATTTGTCTCTGTGATCAGTTAGTTAAGGATACCGCCTCTGCCCTTGCAGAGATAAGAAGGAAAGTCATCAGGAAAGACACTTCTGAGACACCCCAGGACAATGTGAAACAAACAATGGATACTGCATGACTTCATTTGTCCAAATGGGCTTGGAGGACATCCAAAATGTTCAGGTAATCAAATGCTCCAATAAAGGTAAGTGCTATTTACACAGGGGTTACGCTGACCCTAAGGCTACGTGGGTGACACACAGTGAATTTGGATAACTAGATGCTTTGGATCTGTGGTGAGGGCTGCCAGGTCAAAATTTCAAAGATAAGCAACATTATGGAGCCGTGGTGTCCTTTTGGACGAGTTCTCTGCTGCATTCTGCCTTAGAGATATGGGGCATCACTTATATCCTCCTGTGCTATTGCAGGTGTTTCTTTAGAACAGGGTTGAAGAGTCTATGGGCCTATAGATGTTTCTGAACTACAACTCCCATCATTCCTGAGTGTCAACTGGCTGGGGCTGATGGGCACTGGAGTATATGTCTCCCAATCCCTGCTTTTGAAAAACGAATGGCAGCGCTGCCTGGCACTGATACCTCCTAGCGGAGTCTAATTGTTTTCTTGCATTTTGACCCCCATCTTTCTTCCATCATGAAAGTCAAGGTAGTGCACATTCAGACTTTATCTGATATATTTCTTGTTGCCATGACTGTGCTTTCTATACCTGGTTATTTATTGATCTATCATATCATCAACCCTTGCGTATAAGGCCCTCCATCCCTAGTATCATGTCTAAAATTTGAGGTTGCACCACAATCTCACTTCCTCCCCCTGCCCACCCAAGGCTTCTAGTTCATGGGTAGGCAAACTAAGATCCGGGGGCCAGATCCGGCCCTATTGCCTTCTAAATCCGGCCCATGGATGGTCCGGGAATAAGCATGTTTTTTGGGAGAGTAGAATGTGTCCTTTTATTTAAAATGCATCTCTGGGTTATTTGTGGGGCCTGCCTGGTGTTTTCACATGAGGAGAATGTGTGCTTTTATTTAAAATGCATCTCTGGGTTATTTGTGGGGCATAGGAATTCGTTCATTTTTTTCTTCAAAATATAGTCCGGCCCCCACAAGGTCTGAGGGACAGTGGACTGGCCTCTTTCTGAGAAAGTTTGCTGACCCCTGTGTTAGGACAGAACCATTCTACTCTCCATCAACATGATCTCACTTTTTGCAAAGCCTACGGTTGATGGGTTAATTGCCCTCTTACCCATGCACATGGCATCACTGATCTTCCTGGTGGCTGGTATGTTTTTTTTTTTTTTTTACTTCTCTCTCCCTTCAGAACCACATCTCCAGTGCATACACCAATCCAGTTTTACTCTGGAGTCACAGTGCAATGGTCTTCCTGCAAGCTCTCTCTATATATCTAGGCACTGACCAGATCGAGATCTGCTTAACTTCAGCAAGCTGGTGGCTTCATGTGACTTCAGACAGTACCCAACAGTGCCTTCCTCCCCAGTCCCTCCAGGGGTTCAAATGGGGCCTGCAAGGCTGTTTTCCCCAAACCACATCCAGCCACCCCACACCTGATATCATATGTGGGGAAGGCAGCGATGCCAATGCACAGCTGGCAGCCTTAAAATGTTCTTCAATTTGAGCATTGGCAAGGGGAATCACTACACAGCACTATTTATGAGCCCTTTGTGGTGCTCTGAAGCCCAATCATCTGATGTCATTGTGGTGTCAGGTGACTGACAGATAATAATAATATTTTTTTATTTATACACCCCCCCTTCCCGGTTCAGAAAACCGGGCTCAGGGCAGCTAACAACAAATTTAAAACACTTAATTGCTGCAACAAAAAACAACATAAAATACAGTATAAAACATGAATAACAATAAATTCAGAATTCAAAAATCAATTTAGGGGGGAAATCCATCCAATAAACATTAGATGATCACCAGGGCTAGCTGGCTAAATTAGTCCTATTTGGGCCAGCGAGGAGACCAGGGAGAATTAGCTGTGGGATTCCAGAGCGGGTAATCTTCATAAAAAGGGGAAGGGGAGGGAAGGAAGGGGAATAAAAGATCAGGCTAAGTTCAAATTGAAAGCCAGGCGGAATAGCTCTGTCTTACAGGCCCTGTGGAAGGAAGTTAAATCCTGCAGATGGGGTGCCCTTTCTGATAAGGCTAGGATCTGATGGAGATCCAGTCTGTGGAGCCGAAAAGGTTCTCCACCTCTGGTGTTGGAAAATATTGGGCCAACTGTTCTGACTCAGTGTGACAGAGCTTCCTGCCTCCAAGCGGTTTGATCCAGACACACTGACCAGATGTTTGGAAGCTGTGGCTGGATGGTTACGTGGGAGCCGGTTGAAGCTAAATCCTTCGAAGACAGAGGTCCTGTGGCTGGGACGGGGCGATATGGGATTGAGGGGGCAACTCCCATCTCTTGCGGGGGCGCAATTAGTGCCAGCACCGTCCGTTAAGAGTTTAGGTGTAATCTTCGACACCTCCCTTTCCATGGAGGTGCAGATTGCAGCTATAACAAAGGCGGCATTTTTCCATCTCCGCCAAGCTAAGCAGTTGGCTCCTTACCTCTCTCGCCCTGACCTAGCTACTGTGATCCACGCGACGGTCACCTCCAGACCTGGATTATTGTAACTCGCTCTACGTGGGGCTGCCCTTGAGACTGACCCAGAAACTCCAGCGGGTGCAGAATGCTGCAGCGAGACTCCTTACGAGGTCTTCGCTGCGAGATCACATTCACCCGGTGCTATACCAGCTGCACTGGCTCCCGGTGGAGTACAGGATCAGGTTTAAGGTGCTGGTTTTAACCTTTAAAGCCCTATACGGCCTAGGACCCTCGTACCTATGGGACCGCCTCTCCTGGTATGCCCCACAGAGAAACTTACGGTCTTCGAATAAAAACATCTTGAAGGTTCCAGGCCACAGAGAAGTTAGGCTGGCCTCAACTAGAGCCAGGGCTTTTTCGGCTGTGGCTCTGACCTGGTGGAACACTCTGTCACAAGAGACTAGGGCCTTGCGGGACTTGACATCTTTCCGCAGGGCCTGCAAGACAGAGCTGTTCCACCAGGCCTTTGGCCAGGGCACAGCCTGACTCCCTCCCTCGGCAATCTTCGCGGAGCTCTGGCCCAATGGTTGCCAGTGGCTTGAATTAATTAATTTTATAATGAATGATTTTAGACTGTTGTTTATGCTGTACTTTTGTACTGTTTTATTGTTGTTAGCCGCCCTGAGCCCGGCTTCGGCTGGGGAGGGCGGGATATAAATAAAATTTATTATTATTATTATTAAATTTTAATTCTGAACCAGATCACTGCAAACTTGGTCAGCATCATGATATTGGATTGGACCAGCCACTGGTTGCCGCGGTGCGAGAATCGGCCCTCATAATCCATCATCAAGTACCACTCATTGCTTCATGAAATCATCTGCGTTTTATTTCCCAGCCCTGTCAACAGTACAGTTTTGCAGACCGTCATTGCAAAGCATTAAATATGGCTACTTCCATTGACCGTCCCTTCAATTTTACGGTGTTTTCCTGAAGGCGCATTAAAAGAAAAAGCCTCCACTAATTTAAGCTTTTTAAAGTTCCCAATGTTTAATAGCGAATGAAACTATTTGAACTCTTATTTGATTTTAAATCCTGCTTGCCGTCTTGTTGCAGATGGGGGGCATAAAATATTCCATCTCCCACCCCCGCTCCTCCTTTTGATGGCATAAATACTTCAGTGTCCTGCTGCTAAGATATATCAATCAAATCAAAGGTTCAAAAATGGGTTATTATCCAGGTGCGGGGATGAGTGCAAAAACCAAGGCTC